CTAGATATCAATTAATTGCTTAGAAAATATTGTTTTGATTCAAGAACATGTATCCAGAAAATCAATTACATAAAATCTGAATTCTAGTTTTTTTATATTTACAAATCCTATTTTTTGTTTCGACATGGTCAAAACTGATTTTAATCCATAAAACAGATTATTGTTTTAATATTTTCAATAATTTCAATTATTTATTTTATAAATAGTTCAATTTATATTTTATTTTTTTTTATAATAATAACTTTTTATTATAATACATTATAATCATATTCATAATACTAAATCTATTTATGTCATAACTGTTTTTTGTTTCATTATTTTGAATAAAATCTTTTAAGAAACATGTTTTTGTCTGATTTATTGTTTTAATATTTAAATACATTTTCTTGTTTGTATCTATAGTCCACTGTTTATTTACAAATTGTCTTTACAAATTGAAGTTTTCATTTTTAAATATAAAAATCATTTAAGACAATCATACTGTGGTATGTAATTTGCAATGTATAAAAACTTAATTGAATTACAAGGAATATGAAATGCAATAAATAATATTTAAAAAAAAACCTTATGCTTACTAATTTTTAAAATGAATTAGAATTTGTTTGATTACTATTTGCAATAATTAACTTATTATATTATCACAATAATGAAGTTATATTAAATAATTTCATAATATTGTATATCAAAAATCCATTATACATTAAATAAACTATATTTAATTTAATTGATAAGAAGATAAAATGATTAATAAATATAATTAAAAAATCAAATTATTGCAGTAGTTTAGTTCATATTAATGAAGCATAACAAAAAGTCTCTATTTTATTCAAAGGTGAATTATTTTTAAGTATAATTATATTGTGTATTATCAATTTCTCTAATTAAAATATTCTTATTAGTCTAATTCTTGTTCACTTATATAATCAATTCTTACCTTATTTACTAATACTATATTTATTTTAAATATAATCAGGAATAACACCATATAGTTTAATAAAAATTTTTAAATAATAATGATAAAGATAATAATCTTTCTTTAATATATTTCATTAATTATATTATTGCATTAATATCGGATGCTAATACAACCTAAAAAAGATAGATTTGCGAAAATCATCTTATGTAATATAATTATTTTTGTTATAGTTAATAAACACAAAAACTTTAGGTAAAAAAGGAAGATTTTTATTCATAACACTAGTTTATTTTCCTTATATTTATATACATTAGTATGAATGTAATAAGAATTTATAATTTTTTAATTAAGTTATATTATGTAATCTATTAAAATATTTAAAATAGACTATGATAAATACATTATATTTTCTGACGAATAATATATACGAATGTTTGTTATTATTATATTTTATTTGATCAAATTCAATGTTTTCATTTGTTTTTTCCTTAAAAAATATTTTTGTGATTCCTCTACATTATTTTACAAGTTCACCGAACAATAAATTGGTAGTTATATCATGTCAAATTAACTTCGCAATACAAGTATTTGTAATTGAAGACAATTGTTGATATTATAACTATTATATAAATTAATTTATTAAAATAATATTAACAACATTCGTATGTATTCAAATATTTCTTTGAATATTTTGAATTATTAAAATTCTTATAATAATTATCAATTAGAGCAAATTGCATAATTCGTGATTATGAAGAATATTAACATTTTTTTTAAGCTTTTGTGTCAACTTAAACCATACTTCATAATGTAATCATTTTTATGAATATTTTGAAGTGTTATCAAACTTAACAATATTTTTATTTAAAGTTTTTATTTTTTTTTTATAAAAAATTTTAAGTGGCATATTTTGTTAATTCTAGATTTTTTAAAAAGAAATGTTTCATTAATTTGAACTGAAATCTTGAAACATACTCTTTAATTCCAGTAGATTATCAAGAGTTTTAAATTAAAAGTATAATTATAAAATTAGAAATAATAGTAATAAAATCTATTGTTACATATCTACTTAAAGATAGATTTTGTTTAGTTACAATTTTAAATAGTATTTTTAATTGAATCTTAAATTGCAATCGATATATTATTAGGGTATAATAGTAACAGTATTAATGTTCATAATACCTATCATTATATATATTTATATATGAATGACAGACCAATAAAATATTTATAAAAAAAATTCATAGAAGTTCCTTTTTCTATTAAAATACAATATTTTACTAACTTAAAACAAAAAATGATTAAAAAATTAATTTTTCGAATAAAATAGAAATTGTATTCAAAATTTATATAAAAGATTAATTTGTAATTTTAAACTATGTGAAGATTTTAAAAATTAATTGAAAATGTTTTTCTGAAAACAAGTGTGTATAAAATTTTTATTATAAAATATGTTCAATGATATGCATATTATGTTTACATATTCTCATTTTTATTCCGGAATAATAATCTAATTGTTTTTAGTTCTGAAATATATACTATGAAAAATATTTTGGTTTATACCCTATATATTAAAAATAGCGCAATTTTGAAAAAGTTATAACAAATTTTTTTTATTTTATAATGTGTATGTAATAATATTTAAATATACTTTTTAGGTTTCTTAAATTCTCAAATAAATGTTTTTTAAAATTAAGTAAATTTTTAAACAACTAAAATGTGTTTTACCCCATAAAGAATAGAAAATTAAATAAATATGAATGAAGATTTGTGATATTTGAGTATATTTACAATGCAAGGCATAAATTGATTTAATATATGAATCTAAATGTGAATACATATACTATAGACGTGTCGTCTTTTGTCTTTTTCTTAGAGAATTCTACTGTCAGTATCTGTTCAATATTCTACTGTCTTATAATGTATCTATCTGAATGAAAAAAATAAAATTTGATTATGTCTATTATATTGATATTTGATTTTAAATATATGTTAAAGTATGAGTTTAGAATGTATCAAATGTAACTGGTGTATTTCTTTCAAAGTAAACATATTACTGTTTAAAATATTTATAAAAATAATATTTATTCCTGATACATTTAATATAATAAATTTTAATGCTTACATACATTTTATACCAAAAATTAATACTATCTAATTAAAAGCAAATATAATACAACAAAAGATTTGATAAAAAGTACTATAACATATTACCTATATACTTTAACAAGATGTGAAGTTAATGAAATTTGTCAATGCTATTAAGATATTAGATTCCAAAATAATAATAAAAACTAATTGAATGGTTTTAACTCGGATGCCTCTACTTTATTAAAGTTCCATCACTGAACTTAACATAAACTATTTACAGTAAAATGGTATACTTTGCTCCATAACATTATGTTATTGTAAAATGTATTATATAGATTATTTTTCAAACCTATTGTAATTTGAGTTACCCTCAATTATAATTTTTTTTCTTTAATAAGTGCCATTCCGCTATACTCTGTGCATAAGATCATGTACTAACATTATATTATATTTTATAAAGGAATAAATTATTATTCTTTCATTCAACATTTTATTTATGGGCAATCTCCTAAAATGGATTCTAGCTACATTGCAGAACGTGTAATGGTATTATAACCGCAGTATTGATGAGCGAAACCACTATCAGTATTTATCATTTACTGTAACGACGTCTTTGCAATTTCTTTTTGGGTTCACTATAAATTACATCAACCACAATTATTTTGAATTTTGTTTTTTAGCATGGTCTATTCAATAATAATAGAAGGATTACGATTATCAACTTTCGCTCTTATAAAGTTGTAGAAACATATTTTATTTGAAAAAATATTGATGTTATAAGCTTATTGAAAATTATAAATCGAAGTATAAAAAATGAAGAATGAATCATTAAATAAATTTTATATTATTTGTTATTATTTTTATAAAACTAGCTTTTCTGTCAAATAAAAACTTATTAAATTGTATTATATGAAATTATATTATTCTTTATTAGAATATGTGAAATATGGATAAAAATTATAAGTACTTTTAATTTTAAAATATAGTTAGAAACACTTAACTTATTTATAACAGAACTCAACTAAAATATGTTTTAATAAGTTTAAGAATCAACTTCTTAGTTAGTTTTTCTAAAGAAATTTCAAATGCCTGTAAACTGTTGTAGGAGTACTATGTATTTTATTAAATTAATTACTATTAATTTACATTAGTTAAAATAAAAGAATGATTATATCTTTAAAATACAATGAAATATGTGTGCAATACACTAAACATAACAAAATATTGTAAGAATTTTATATTTTTTAATATTTTTAAGTATATGCAACTACATATTTGCATATGTTCAAAAATTATAATTATATGATAAAAATATCGATTATAATTTCAAAATGCTCAAATCTCTGAATATTATTCAGAAAAAATCACCTATTTTTATAAATTATTAAAATTAACATAGTAATATAATTTATTATAGAAATAAATAAATTATGATTTGATTGTATTGAAAAATTCTTATTTTTATTAAAATCTATAATTTTATTAATAGTGTATATAAATTACAGATTAGTGTCAATGATCTCTAATATTATGTACAGATTTTAAATATATTCGTAAACGTTATATTTATATAAATAATTAACAAAAAATAACGTATATAATCGTTACAACAATGTGCGAGTATAAGTTTTAATGATGTTCGCAATATGAATTTCGTAATATCAATATTATATAGTTTGAAATTCGTATTGAGTACAATGTTAAGAACCAATAAGTTAATTTTTCAATGCGCATGCTTAAAAGGGATGTTTATGTTCCCTTACTACTATATTAGTTGGTAATAGACCGCTAGATGCCGTTATCAGTTCTTTCTATATTGCCAAGCTGTGTGGCGCCAGTATCGTTTCTATTTTAATTTCTATTTTTCACTCTTTCTTATTCAATTGTTCATTCATTATGCTGTTACACTGTTCATTAGACCTGCAGCTTACTTCCCGCTGAAAAGTGTTCTATTTTGGGTGTGGTCTGGTTAGTAATTCAATTCTGCTTTAACAGATAAAAATCTTTTAAAAAAAAAGAACCAATTATGAATATTTATTTTAATTTTCTATAATCATAAATCTTTTAGAAGTGATTGTGTTAATTATCAAAACAACAGACAGTTCAAGAATACTTTTATATTATACTAGGTATCCAACATTTTTCCTCCAATGTATTTTAGTTTAAGATGTCTGTGAATATGACATCTATGAGTAAAATAAAATACATGGAGCTGATGTGATCATTTCTTTTTCTATAGAGCGATTTCGAATAAAAAGGTAGTCATAGTCGAATACCCATCGTAAGAAACAATGCCTTGACATTGGTTGCAGGTTTATACATTATTTAAGAAGTGTGAATAAGATATTTATTCAAGGTAACTAATATAAGTACCCTTAATATTTTTCAGAATGTTAGATTAATTGCAAATAGGCACTAGTGTAGTGCAATGATTTCATTACAAGTTTTGTTTAGGCTAAAAGAATATTTATTTTTTTCGGTTAATATTTTTATAAATCATGTAGGTTATGTATTAGATAATTGAATATACTTTAAGTACCTCAAAGTTGTTTTGTTAATATACATTATTATATTAATAAAATTTGATTGAATTTTTTTCAGGGAAATCGAATTTAATAAATATATTAATTTTCTTATGTAAAATACAAATCTATTAGAAAAAAAATCATTTGAAATAATTTTCAAACTTATTCAACTATACAATATAATTAAGGTTTTATTTTTATTTTTTCAAATAATTATATTTTTTATGAATTTATAAAATTCATAGATAATAAAATATTTTTATATAAGTAATTTTTATTTTACTAATATGCTGTGCATTTTCTTAATATTTTTTTATTTATATTATTACCAAAGAAATAACTTAATGTTTTTGACAAATTGTAAAGAGTAATTTTTTATATATTAAAAAAGTTTCAACATGTTTGTGTGTATAAATAAAAAATATATATATTATTTTGTAACCTACTCTGAAAATAAAAATAAAATTTTTAATTTGGAAAGTATAAGTGAATAGATACAAAATTGTTTTGTTTGAATTTGGAATTTGAAAATTTTTTCTAAACTTCTAATAAGTAAGATCAATTATTTTAAAAATAAATTTTTGGCAATTATATTTTAAATAATATGTAATTTGAAAGATCTAAAATTTTATTGTTTTATTCTGCATATATAAAAAAGGATATATTTTTCACAAAATAAATTAAATATTATATTTTATTGTTTCAGAATTTAAAATAATAAAAGTACTTTTTATGGAAAATATTATTGAAGATAAATAATTAAAATTGAAATACTTAAACCAATAATAATTTTAAAAGTATGTAATCTTTTGTGCAACTGTGTAATACTGTTTGATATCTTACTTAAATAAAAGAACTTCATTATTAATTGAATATATGTGTAGATCAGTTGTGTCTAATAGCAAATTCATTACTCATGATCTTATAACGTTTTTAAATTATAAATTAAAACAAAAGTTTAAAAATCATCTATGAATTTAAAGTAAAGTATAATGTCATACTATGGCCATATATTTTATGAATTTTTTTTTTAAATAAATTATAACTATATTTTACGTAACTATGAAACTTGATTTGCAAAATTTTTTAGATATTTTTCTTTTATTTAATTTTTTGTAGCAATTTTTTTATAGAAATTTTATGCATATGTAGGGTAATTATGAGTAACAATAATCAATACATTTATATCATTTTGATAATTATAATTCTTTATACAAATCAATTAAATTGTATATTAGATCCTATTTTCAGCCCTATTCATTGAAAATTTGTTGATAATCTCTATTTTTATCAGTCCCTTATAATTTTGCTATTAATATTTGTATAAACACACATACATTCATAGTATTTATTTGTTCTACAATCCTGAATACAAAGATACTCTGTAATTCTTAAAATAATAATTAAGAAGTAAATTCATATAAATACATGATAATTGTTATAATTAAGTAGTGTTGAAATTGATTTATATTGTTTTTTATGTTATTATTATGTGACAAGCACTTCCAGTATAATAATTCAATGTTTTATAATTTATGCATTTTATTAACTTTTATATAATAAGAGCATAAACATCAAAGTTAGAGTAATTTTAAAATAATCTAGAAGATAAATAAAATTTATAATTTTGAGAAAAGATGAATTAAAATAAAAAAAAGTTGAATTATTTTTATAATTATTTTAAAATCATTTTAGACTAAATAATATGACGTATTAATTGTATTTATATTATAAAATTTATTTATATATAAAACCGAACATCGAAGATAAAATGATCCATAAGAATAACACCTATAATTTAATATAGATTTAGTTGCTTAAAATAAAATTGTATTATAAACTATTTTGTAATCCTAAGAAAGTATGTAATACTGTTTTAGTAAATATGTAAAAATATATTTTCCAGTATCTAAATAAATATAAATATTGAATATAGAGTAACAATATTAATATTAATAGCAATCTATAATATATATTCATAAAAAATGTAAATTAAAACGTTTTTTAACTTAATATTGTTAAATATTAAATTAATGTGGAAATCTTTTTAAACTCAATATTTGGTGGCAAACTTAAAACTGTGAAAAACATTTTTAATAATGCATTCACTAATATTGTTTGTACATAAATTACTCCAAAAATAGACAAATTATTAATATTGATATTAAGTTTAAAAAAGAAGCTATATGTATATTCAAATTTACAATGCAAATTTATCCAAAAGATGCAAGGCCTTGTCTCGTACTATTTGTGAGCGTCTGTCGACAATTATTAAATTGTTTTGATGTAAATTTTATACCGATTTAAAGATGAAAATACTTACAAATTTTTACATTTACTAATCTGTAATACTATTTTATGTAGTAACAAAATTTATCCCTTATGATTTCATAAAATCCCTCCTAAGAAGAGTTTTATGTTTAAGAAAAATTCATGCAAATTTTGTTATACCATTTAAAATAATTCGTTTATATATATTTACTGTAATAATATTAATTATCATTACAATTTACTTATTTTAATTTAATGTTCATATGTAAATAAATTTATAATTTTAATATAAGGTACTTTTTATAACTACATTCGAAAGAAAAAAAATATTCGAGCTAATTATAAATTTTCTATATATTTAAATACATATAAAGAAATTGACCAAAATTTTTTCAAATATTTATGCAATCACTTTGCTAGAATATACCCATGAAATATCTTGAACGATTTCACATTTTTATTATGCCCTTAAAATTTTAACATAATTTTAAATTTTAAATTGAATGGTTAATACATTAAATTATTAATAAATTATCATTTGTGTCAATAAACTAAATAGTTTTTGTCTATTTTGGCCAAACATTTAGAAAAATTTCATAAAAACAAATTTAATGCCTTTTAGAGTTCTTGTTTATACATTCCTGTTTTCCAGTCTGTTTTTTTGTAAGATATTTGGCAAAATTATACTTTGACACTTTAGAATTGTCTTAAAATTTTTGTTGTACAGATTTTTTTATTAAACTACTACTAAATTTTTTTACTTTTAATTCATTTTTTACTAAACCAGATAACTTGTTTAAAATTATGATAAAACAAAGGTCTAAGACCTTATATTATTTTAATGTCTTACAAATAATTATCTAGCATTGCACAACATAAAATTTATATAATATATAATATAATATATATAATATTTTAGTAAATTAAAGAATTATTCTATAGTTTTTTAAAATTTTGATATTTAGTTAATAACTTTGAAATATGTAATCTAAATAGTTTATTCTTTCTTTACATCTTAAAAAAGGTTTATGCACTTATATTTTCGCAATAAATAAAATTTTTTATGTTTTTTTCAGACCTTACATAAGTACAATTGAATGCAAGAGTATCATTACCACCGATGTTGCAACAGCAAAGAAAGGCGTTAAGTTGAATGGAGTAAGATTTCCGAAGGCATTTATTTAAATTTGGTTTTACTAGTACTACAATAAAACAAGTCTATCCATTATAATCTTTGCCAAAGAAAACGTGAGAATACATTATAGTATACGAAAAATAAATACAAGACAGCTTATCATGAATGAATTGGACACCCTTCGTCAAGAGGCAGAGACCCTCAAAAATGCTATCAGGGTTAGTATGTCAACATGTGATTGTTAGTTTGTGTAAGTTCACATCATATCTTGCTTATATCCATGATCTGAAAAATTCTAATCTCGTAATATTGATAATTATATATACAATATTATGCTACACAAAAATTTTGTAGATATTTACTATTCATATTTAATACATTTTATATTTTGCACTTATGTAAATTTCATTTTGTAAAATTAAAAATTTATTTGAATAATTTACACCCCTATATATATTCCATATTCATGTAAAATTATAATTAACTTAATAATTTTAAAAGGCCAATTATGTATGCATTCCATTCATGTTCAAAATCATAATTTGCAAATTCAGTATTGGTTTTAAAACTAAAACTTTATTATTTTAGAATCATTTAAGCGTTTAATAATTTTAAATATTTGAATTTAAGTGAAACTATAGAATTGTACAAAGGATAGGAATTTTTATTAAATATTTTAAAAGTTATGAAAATTTTTATTTTATAAAAATTAAATACCTGAATAATTGAAAACACGATATTAACATAACAAAAAGTCTACGATTACAAAAAATACTACTTTGACTTTTAATCCTTTCACCTAGCCTTAATTTGCATTATCATAGAAAAAGTATTATTTAAATTTGTATTCATGTAAATTCGTATTAGAAATAACACGGAGCATTATGTATAAATGATATTGTTTAGGAAATATTTTTTATAACTTAGACAATCATTATAACAAACTACTAGATTATTAAACTATAAAACATATAATGTTGAATTTTCGACTATTCAATATTACCTCATTAAAATAATATTGCTTTATTAAATATTTTATAGTTATGGTTAACAAAATTTATAAGTACTTGTTTCGATTGCGAATATAATAAATCATGATCTTTGTATTGACTAATACATTTAAAAAAATTTTCAATAATATAACAAATGAAATCAAAATTATTAAATGTATTATGAGTACCGCAAAATTCAGATGACAAATAACATTATTCCGTATGTTTGTAAATATGTATGTAGACGCAGATATGTAAATATTTAAAGCTGACTGATTATAAGCGTTTAATAAAATATATATAATAGCAAAAAATACCTAGTGTTAGTATACATATATTATCTTACATATCTAATTAACAAATATATACAAAATTAGTCTTGTCAAAAATTCTTATTAGTTGATTTATCATTACTAAGTAAAATAATTTTGTTGGTTATTTCAATGAAAAAAGTTTTGACCTTTTAATCGGTTCGAAGCAGTTTCCTCTTAATTATGTTCAATGTCACAATGAAGAACTGACTTGTCAATTCTATAAAAATGGGTTCATTTACTTATGACATTCGGTTTTAACAATTTGCTTTTATTTTTATTTAATTTTAGTTTTAATTTACAGTTTTAATACGATTTTATATAAATATTTTTAGAAACTTCTTTGTTTAATAGCACTAAATAAATTCTACTAACAATGAGATTCTCTTTTCCAAATGTATCAAAAGCATTTATTAGTTAATGTTTAAACTATGTTCATTCGTTATAAGTATTACAAAATATTTCTTTAGCAGCAATGGTGAATAATATCCGAGGCTATTTAGATAAGAATAAATTTGGATAATAAAAATTAATTATATTAAGTAAGTTTTTTACAAATATTTGTGTTGTAAATAATGTAGCTTTTTTATAATATATATTATAGATTTTTAATAATAAATATAATGAATTTTACAAACAATAAATTTTATTATTTATCGTATCCTATTTTTTTTTAATTTTTGCAATACATTTATCATTAATTTTGAATAGTATTTTATTAATATACATGCGAATTATAAATTATAAATTTCCAATGTTGGATTGAGAGCCAAATTTGAAACTTTTAATTTGTATATTTTTCTAGTTATAAAAACTTTTCTGAAATGGAGTTGCAATTTAAAAATTATATGAGGTAATTTTAAATAATTAATTATAAAAATGGGCACGGAAATCGAAGTTAAATAAATATAAATACTCGTTGAACTGTACAGTGAGTATAGCGCAAAAAACTTAAAACAGTATTTGAAAGATTGTACATTTTTTTCAAAGTAAATTTATTGTCCAAAAATACGTAGAAAGTTTTAATATCAAACTCGAAATAAGATATATTTAAATTTAAATTTAGATCCAAAATCCAAACTTAAAATATATTTTATTCAAGACATGTTTTTAAATATTCATTTCATTGTGAACTCATCGGATAAAATGCATTATATATTTAAAATATTAAAACATAATGTAATGCAATTAGTACAATATGCAATTAATAATTTACAATTATTTATTACAATTAAAATATTAACATAATTAGTTTACATTCGCATAATAATGAATTATATTATTTTAAATTTTCATATGCATTATATTTTTGAACGAAATGTACAGATGTTTTAAAACGTTTCGTGTTCGTTAAAAGCCATATACTTTTAAAGTAATATATGTTAAAAAATACTAAAATTTTTACAGTTTTATTCAATTTTTTAAAATCGCGAATACCAATTTTACATTGTTCAGTAATGTAAATATTTAAAGATATTATATATGTATATATAGAGATTTTATTATTACATGAATAATTTAAGTATTCTTGTTGAAAGAATGTATATTTTCAGTCTCTCTATTACGTATTAAAAACTGAATCGCATAAAATTTATGATTGAAAAAACATTTTGCATACAATTTTAATCAATTTAAAAAATTGGATTTAAAATTTGAATTACCTAAAATAAATCGTTATTGAATAATTTTTAGATGATACTATAGTTTTATTCTGACATCAAAACAATATTTATTTTTAAATTTGAATATACATGGCAGAAATAAGTAGTGTATAATTAACATTTTTTATTTTATATGCGTTGATATTGACATAATTTTAAAATAATGATAATAAAATGAATAATTTATAGTGTTATATAATAATATAGAAACTAACACTGAGAAAATAAAATATGCTTTTTTGAAATCTGGTTTAATCTATAGATGGTACCAAAGATAATTGATTAAAATTCGGAGAAATATACGCAGGCACCGACAGAAAAATTATAGTATATAATTATATTATAGTATATTATAGTATATCGCAAATCTGTTATTAAAATGTTAACAATTTGGTTCAAATTCAAAGGTATTTTAAATAGTTTTTGAATTAGTTAATCAGTTATTTATTATAAGAAAAAATTTGATTATTCCCAATAATTTAGAATATGCTAAATAGATAAAGAGGATAGCGGTACATATCTATGTATTTTATGCTGTTTTTGACAACATCGCATGTCTCTATCTATACTTTGATTTCTTTATATCTTAATAATTCTTTTTTTTTTTCTTATTACATTCATATGTTCCTAATTTTTATATTTTGTATTCATATAATTTATACTAAAATTATATAAAAATCTTACTATTATTTAAGAACAAATATAGTAATATGTGATATATTATATAATTAGCGTCATCAGTGAAAATATTTTATAAAGCAATGAATTATAATTGCTATCTTTTACGATATGCTGAATATATGTAGTTTTATGTGATAAAAATAGAAAGAGGTACTAATTATTTTTTTAATTTAAGTTTGGTTTTTTATTAAAACAAATTTTAATTTATTTTACATAAAATAAATACATGTAGTCATACAAATATTTCATTCAAATTTGTATCAATAAAATACTCTGTGTTTATATATATATATATATATATATATTAGTATTATTTAGATCTCATAAAATATTAAAATAATTTAATATTAATACGATTCATATCAAAATCAAACATTTTATTTGAAGGATGCAAGAAAAAATGCATGTGATACAACTCTGGTGCAGGCAACGGCCACAATGGAACCAATTGGTCGAATACAAATGCGTACAAGACGTACTCTTCGTGGCCATTTAGCAAAAATATATGCTATGCATTGGGGCAGTGATTCAAGGTACTTGTTGGTATACGTAACAATTTTGATTAAATATTTATATAATGTAATTACTTGCGCTAAGAAATATAAAGAATGTAGAATTGAAGTTAAATTTAATTAGGTAGTAAAAATGCGATGCTTACATGTAGACAATTTTATATTTCTAAAAAAAATTTGTAATTTCCTTTACGAATCCTTACTTAATTGAATAAAAAATAGAGAAGTTCCGATTAATGTAGTTGTTTAAAGATGTAATACCTATCAAGAAATTAAATAATCATAGAATATATTAATTAAGCACTAATAAGGATAGTTATTAAGAACCTTTTATATGATATACCCATAATAAGAATGGATTATCCATAAAATATGTAAATATATTTATTATTTTATAATTATTTATTTAGATAAATATTTTATTCAAATGATATATCCGTGACAAAACCACATTACTTTTTTCACTTTATTTATTTTTATAAAAGGAAATAGCAACTATCTGTAAAGATAATAAATACATTTTTATTTATCATCAATTCATTAAATAGTATGTTTTTTTATTAAAATATTTCCATTAGTCCAAAAATTTTACGCGAATTAATTTAAATTTAAATAAATATAATTATTTTAATAAGCTGAATATTTTATTGTTTTAAATATAGGAATCTAGTATCAGCATCTCAAGATGGCAAGCTAATCGTGTGGGATAGTTATACCACGAATAAAGTTCATGCCATACCACTACGTTCATCATGGGTAATGACATGCGCATACGCACCGTCAGGAAGCTATGTTGCTTGTGGTGGATTGGACAATATTTGTTCAATTTACAGTCTTAAAACTAGAGAAGGTAATGTTCGAGTCAGTAGAGAGCTTCCAGGACATACCGGCTATCTTTCTTGCTGTCGTTTTCTGGATGATAATCAAATTGTGACTAGCTCTGGTGACATGTCTTGGTAATTAAAGTATTAAATTTATTCTTATTTAGATAAGAAATTTAATGTACATAGTTATTTTTTCTCATTATTTTAACATATCAACAAAAAAAATGTACAAAATATTGTTTACTTTATTCCCCTATAAAATTATAGCCAGATATCTGAAAAAATTTCATAATTATTAGTAGTTAAATTTCGAAAATTGAATGCAAGTATTAAAATCCTTGTAATTTTAAATTTTCTTTAAAAAAAAGTTAATAAAATAAAATTTACAAAATAAATAATTAATATATTTTAGACTAAAATTGTCTAATTTAAAGGTTGCTAACTTTCTATACAATACAATTTTTTGCCATGATTTTCCTCCACATTTTAGAAAAATAATCATCTTTTCTAGCCTAACATAAATAAACTCTCATAAATTCTATTTAAATTTGTGACAAATAAGATATTTTTCCACTTAATTTAAGACTTGCAATTTTAAATTACATTGATTTTTTTAATTGCAATACTGTAATATACATATAAAATAAGTATATTAAAAATAAAGTTACAATTATATTTAATACTTTTTAAATAAATTTAATAGTATCAATAAAATGAAAGGTATTTATATATTCTATATAAAAAATTAGGTAATTTACTGAGTATAGTAATAATTTATTTATTGCTGCTTTACAATGTTATAAAATTATTACATTTATTTCTTATGGAAATAACTAAAATAATTGTGTTATGTTATAGAGGCGATTAGTCATATGTTTGTAATACATTTAATAAACTAATTAAAAATACAAAAGTAATATATCTTTTTAACAATAAATTATCATTGTCTTGCATCTTCTATTATTTGTAAGTAAAGTTGTGTAAAATGAATAGTGGCTCAGATTATTTTTATTGTTACATTTTTTTATTATAATTTTTTTATTATTTTGTTATTATTATTTTAAAAAATTCTTTAAATATAAAAATGCCATTTAGTTCATTTTTTTACATTTTAAGTAAATTGTACTTGTAAAAAAATGTTTAAATCTTTAGAATTGTATTTTCAAGCATTACAGTTAATAACTTTAAATTTATAATTTATATATAAATAATTTGCTTATTATTTAAATAATATTATGAATTATTTTATAAACTTTATGTTATAAACTAATAGCGATGTTAAAATTGTTTAACAGAATCTTAGAACCATCAGCATTTCCATATCATGTACAAGAAATATCAAATATTAATATTAACAATTATATTTATCGTATACATAATATAAAATAAAATGATAACTAAAAATTTTAAAAAATTAAAAATTAGGTTTAATATAAATATGATTTTAGTGCATTATGGGACATCGAGACTGGTCAACAGTGTACCTCATTTCTTGGGCATACTGGTGATGTTATGTCCTTATCATTAGCACCTGACATGCGCACTTTTGTTTCTGGTGCATGTGATGCCAGTGCAAAGCTGTGGGATATTCGCGAAGGTTCTTGTAAACAAACTTTTCCAGGTCATGAAAGCGATATTAATGCCGTTACGGTATGTATACATTTATAAAATAATATATTTTTGTGTTATTTACGTATATTTATTTCTACCAATGATATTTTTCATGATCTATGCGAAATATTAATATATTAATAAAACGTTTATTATTTATAATTTTATTTTTATTAATTTATAATTTAAAGATAATTTCAATAAATTGAAATAGGAATATTTAAATTATTTTATTTATAAAATGAAATATAATTTGCTTCCATTCATTTATGTAATCATCAAAAATAATTAAATATTTTTAAAAACATAATTTCAATACATAAATTTGTATACTTCTGACAAAAGAATAAGATTAGAAATTTGTTGTTTAAATACATTTTAGTTTTTTCCAAATGGATTTGCTTTTGCTACGGGTTCAGATGATGCTACTTGTAGACTATTTGATATAAGAGCAGATCAAGAATTAGCTATGTACAGCCACGATAATATCATTTGTGGAATCACAAGTGTATCTTTTAGTAAAAGTGGAAGATTATTACTTGCTGGTTATGATGATTTTAATTGCAACGTTTGGGATTCTATGAAAACTGAACGAGCTGGTGAGAAAATTCATTTTTATTTCATTAAATTAAACTTATACAGAATAAAGATATATCATTTTATTTAAATATTAAATCCTAATAATATAATCAATAGGAATTAGTTAATTTTAGAAATTAGAAATAAATCTAAATGAAAAGTTTCTATTTATAAATACAACATAATATGTAAAACAATTCGTAAATAAAAAATAATATTTCAAGAAATTATTAATTGAAGTTTTATAAAAATTACTTGTTTTGAAAATCTTCTGTTATGCATCTAAATCACAATTTATAAATGATTAACCATAATTATTTGAGAAGACATCTATAGATTAGTTTCAAAATTTTAAAGTATTATGACTCGTATAAATTGAATATCTTCAAAATAGTTATTATGTTTTTGAGCAAAAATATAATATTAATATTTTTGTATTTAAATTTAACTATTACTTGAAGACAGTTCTCTTAGTAACTAAAATAGTAACTAAAAGGACAAATGATTTCAATTTAATTATGTATGAAATTTAACAAAATTTATATACACCAAAATGCAGAATGTTGTATAGAAAATAAATCTCTTACATTTATATTTTCAGGAATTTTAGCTGGACATGACAATCGTGTATCATGTTTGGGTGTTACGGAAGATGGGATGGCAGTAGCAACTGGATCTTGGGACTCATTTCTACGCATTTGGAACTAAAATATAATAAACATAATTATATTCTTCAAAGAGTTAATTTTTATCAGTCAGAAAAGTACACCATAAAAATAAATACATTGGTACTTTATAATGAATAGAACAAAATAGTAAATGATACACAACAATGTCCATACAAAAAATAAATTCCAAATGATAGAAAATGACGAACCTGAAGATAAAATTTCTTTGAAGACTGTAAAACTCGGGCACATGCATACGTGCACATACGTAATTGACTGCCAATAATATGGTACAAGTATTGATCGAGGATGTTGTTGAGTACATAATCAATAGTAAATAGCAAGTCTTATTTGAATTAATTATAAAAATAATTATGAACAAAATTTAAAAAAAAAGTATGTTGATAAAATGATAAAATGTAAATATAATTTTACATAAAAATTTAAGTAATAGAAAAAAATATATTATTTATAACTTATAATAAAATTAAAATAAGATAGGATAATTCCTATTTTTGACCTATTGCTTTTATAATGAAAAAATATTGTATCGTCAAAAAACTAAATTTAACTAGGTATTTTTATTTTAATAGATATCTGCACAGTTTACGCAACTAAATTACGTAAATTTACGTCCTCGATCATCAAATAAATATGGTCAAATTTTGTAAAGCTTCATAAAAAAAAAATCATTTTTAATGAAGCAAAAAAAAAGAACACAATAAGGAAGATGAATTATAATAAATATTCCATAGATTTTTTTCTACTAGCTTGAACTACTACCGAAAAAATAATAAAATATGGATTAATCTAGTTGTCCTCAAGAAATTTCACTAAAATATTTAGTAAAATGACGACTATTTTAAAAAGTTAGTGATGTAAACAAATTAAAATATTGCAATTTTAACGTACGCAACAAAAATAAAAATAAAGATCGATAAAAAGTGAATGTTCTGCACATATATGCTATTCACAATTGATTTTATCACGCTTATATGAATATCCACAAATATATACATTGTCAAAAACAAACAAATGAGAAATATGCACATATTAGAATAACAAAAAATTAATCACCTACAAAATAATGTTAACAATAATAGGAACAGGAAAAAGCTAGAATAATAATACACAAAATAAAAACTAATCAATTACTTATTACTTTTTATTTTCTCGTTATATGCGATATATGACTTAAGGTGCGTCGCATACACGTGTAAGTATGCAACTATAAAAAAAATGTTATACTGAAATATGTATGATTGCAATGACAATGTTGGATACTTGTATGCACGCATAATTAGAAAGTATATTAGTGATTATACACAATAAAAAATGGCACAAATTTAAGGAACAATTCTATGCTCTACAGTATTTCCTTAATTAATAATAAAAATAATAAAATAAATCATCTTATTAAAATATAAGGTCAGTGATTTATTCTGGTTATAAAAAAATTCGATAAATTAAAGCTAAACATTCCTTTAATGTATTATATTATAAATATATTATAATATATATAACATCTTCACTGAAAAAAATTGAAAAAACCAATTTTTATACTAATTTAATTTCTTTATTACAATTTCGATCTTTACTAATATTGTTTAAATTATAGCCTTAATATATGTAATTATTTATTATGTTTAGTGTTTTTAAATTACTAGAGAAAATAATGCATATTAAATGCATATATATATATAAATACATAAGTATATTCAGAGGTTCAAGAGTAAAAGATAGCAACTGTTCATTATTTTCATGTGAATAAGGCTAAAAGTGTAAACAAGATTTCAGAATCACGATAGAAAGGACAGTTAAACAAGAGTAACTTTATACATACTAAATGGTAGCTAATTTCTATTATGCGCGCATACATTTCACGAATTAAAACGAAATTATATATAAACTAAGTATTGTGAGATTCGTGTAGCTTCTTATCAATCTCTTTGCTTATCAATAACTCATAATAAAAATATTATCCTCTAATTTGTTTACAAATTGTTATTCAGTTAATGATTTCATTATTTTATTTATACATTTATTTAATTTCATGAATGATACATTAAAAAAATACAATAAGGGAAGAACAAAGATAACAAAATAGATTAGAATAATCAGAAATCAAATAATAACAATTATTTACTGATCTAATCAGTAATTAGATATAAAGTGAAAATAAAAAACTTGGGCAATAGTTTTGTTTTACCTATTTAAAATGATAATTTAGGTGTAGTCTTATATATGAAAGTCTGCACTATGTTAAATTACGAAAAAAAGGAAAGGAAACTTTCGAGTAGATAGTTTATGCAAAAAATAAAGAAAATAAGTGTATTTGTTTAGTTTGTAACACTTAAAAGCTTATCCACTCACTATGTTATTTATTATTCAATAATACATGTACTTGCATAATTGATACATGCACATTCGTAAAATTAAATGGCTTCTTTTATTATTGAAAGCAATAAAAAATTGCAACTAATATCTATTTTATTATATATAGAAAAGTATTAAAATTCATGAAGGCAAGTCAAATGATATATAAATAATATCGATTTGATAATAATTTATTTTAAGTTAATAATGGTTTTTTCTTTTTTACTAATATACTATTTATTTATTAACTAATTTATAAATATAGTCACTTATTAATCATTTATTTATAAAAAGATATACCTACATTTCTTATTACATAAATATTAATAATTGTACATATAAATAATAAATTAATTATAATATCGTTTATAAATATGAATACATTATTTACGATATGTATAGTGAAGGTAAGTAAAAATTTATAAACATACAGCGAAAGAGAATAAACAAAAATATATGGATTTACAATAAATACATTTTAAAAGTGAAACATTCGTTTAAAAAATTACGATGATAAAATAATAACAAAAATTTTAAGTATTGCATTTTTATATTTATTTTTTCTTTTTTCAAACTGTTTCCAATTCAATACATACTTATTTTATATACTATTTTTAAAAATAATTAATATTCAAACATTCTAATAATAAAAACAAAAGGTAATAAAATGTTTTTTAAATGCTTATATTAATAACAACAAAATATAATGTAGTATAAACAAAAATTGTAAAATTTCATTTTGATTTTAACAAAATAAATAAAATAAATATGCATTGAATTATAAACAAAGTTGTAAAATAATGAATTAAGTTTATAAAGTAAATGATTTTTAGAATATATATATATATATAATAACCACTATATATAGGTATATATATAGTATAATATATATAATATAATTGTCATTGACTACAATCTTAAATTTTAGTTTATAGCAAGCTATGTTTATGAAATAAAAAAAAATAATTAATTTTGTTTGTGTCTAAGGATAGATATTTATTGAGTCTCCTAATAAAAAGAATTGATCAATTTTCTATTTATGATGAAAGAACGTACAAATGAGTACATTAAATAAATATTTTTAAATATAAATAAATTACTATATTTCTATTCAAGTTTTTCCTTAATAGAAAATTATATCAGGAAATAAATATTTGTTATGAAAAATGGTTAAATTGAAAAATTGCAAACTGAAATTAATTTTTTCTGGATAAACTCTTTTGTGTAAAAGTACTGACTTCAATTGAATTATGTATATGTATTTATGTATACAATTTTTTTATTGTGAATCAAATAGCTACAATAAACAAATAAAAGTAATAAAATTTGTCTCAGAAAATTTTTTGCAAAGCAATATGAAATTCTGTAAACAAATATGAGCAAAAATGAATCAAATTTATTTATTTATCTTTATATTGAAAATTTAATTCTTTTTTCTTTATTCTATTTTTTTAAATGACAGTTTTCAATATTTAAATAATACAATAAATATTTTATTCACTTTTTACTATCTCAACATAAGAAATTGCTACTATTATGATACCCTAATACCTTGCTGCACGTTGTATATTGAAATATTTGTCAAAAAACTATTTAAATTAATAAATACAATAAGTTGCATGCATTCATATTTAAAATTATATCTTGTATTTAGCATCTAGGATTATGGAACTTTGCATTAGGAAAAAATATCAATGGATAATAAAATATGAGTGTTATTTTTGGAATATATTTAATATAATCAATTTGTCCTTGAAACGAACTAGTAAAATATTCATGCATACTTGGTATAGACGTTCTATGTTGTAGATATACAGGAGCATTTTCTTTAATATGATGACTGGCCCTGTCGTATCAAGAATCATATTCTTATTTTTATTAACTAGCACGAAATGATCAATACACATTTTATTTAAGATCTATCATTTCTATTATGGTCATTGGGTGTTACAATGCAAACTGTAATTAAAAAGTTATTGTTTATTGTTATAAATTTACCATATCTTCATTCTAACTGCTATGAATAAATCTTAAATATTCATAGCCACCTTTGGAGAATTATGTTTTTAAGCTTACATAGTTACTAATAAATGATATTAAGTAAAATGAATTAATTTATATTTAAGTATATAAAAAATACAATTATTTCACTATATTAATGCAGCATACTATATTACAGTACAATAAAATTACTTTCAATTATTAGTCATATGCAGTATATTGAACAATCATTTAATTTAACACTTGGTAGATGTTGATTCTCAATGAGTAATTATCTGATACTTTCTCCGAAGATTAATAAATGTAGTTGGTATGTACATTAATATTTTTTAAATCTTAATGTATTCTAGATATGCAAAATTTCTGATAATCATTAAGTTTTCTGTATTAAGTATCAAATAGCAAGACCGTATAGATATATGCATATAAATGTTTACTGATTGGATATGTCAAAATTGATTTTTGTTGGAAATATAAAGAAATTTCTTAATTAATCCTGAACTTTTTCCAAGTCAAATAGCCAACAATCAAACATATTTAATAATGATTTTTCACTTATATATGTAAAATCTAATACTTATTAAATTCATTAATATAAATCATTAAATTTTAATAAAATATGAAGCTTTATAATAAACATTAAATAAAGATTTTAATATTTAAATATAATAAATATAATTACATACAGTTATTTCAAATTGTTCGGAATTCCACTCACCCGGCGGTTAAGAGACTAAGATGAATGGATTAGACTATACCATTTTATTGGTGGAAAAGTGGGGATGAGTGAGAGGTTAATTCATCAATTCAGTATAAGCACAATTGGTTTTCGTGACATTTATTTTAGGTTAAATTACAATTATGCAAAACGATTCACCAGTAGTAGTGAGTGTTGATATCGTCCTGCGGTCTTGACAGTTAGTAGAGAGGAAGGGCAGGGCCTCGTGCAGGTGTGCAAGGGAAGGCTGGTTATGCTAGAAACGTGTTGCAAGTAGCAGCGGCCCATAGCAGTATGACGGACATGATTCTTGCTGAAGGCACGTGGCAGGTTGCGGCGCCCCGTAGCGGAAGAGATGAGAATTAATTTCGCTGGAGACGCATAGCAAATGGCGGCGTCCCGTAGCGGTATGTCTGAAAACCAGTCTCGCCGGAGGCATGCCGCGAGTAGCTGCGCCCCGTAGCAATAAACGATAATTAGGTTTGCTGGAGGCAGAAATATTTATATATTATATTATTAGACGTGTTTACATCATAATTCGTAATATTTAATATAACGTAATATAATATAATCTTCTAGGAACAAAACAATAAGATCAATGCTGTAATGGAAATATGGATATAATATTATCATTTAACGAGCCAAAAAAATGACCAATCATCCCTGTTAATTTCGTGCGAACCCTTTTTATAAAATAGCATTAAATTTCTCTGCGTTAGCGGTTATGTAACAAAAATCTGTATATCTTATTTGGTTCTGAAAGGACAGTGCAGAAAATTATTAGAAGAGCTGTGATACCAATCTCAATATGTAATAAAAGTAAATTTTGTATTCTAGTTTATAATTACTTCAATTTCATATTTTTTTAATACCTTCAATTTTTTAAAAATGAATAACCTCAGATTATTATAATTGAGAAATGAAAATTGATTGTTTTATCACTTTGTTTAATCTATTGTTTAATTTGTAAGTTTTACTATTTATTAATCTATCATTTCCTTAACTCAACTTAATGCACTATGAGTAATTAATATTACACCTTTCATGCAGAAGAAAAAATTATAAATGAAAATATTTGTGTATATATATATATGTATGTATATCACCTGCACTATATTATTTAAAATTTATTTCAAACTCATACTCTTTTTTTTCTATGACATCCTAAATTCTTACCATAAATTTAAGACAGTACTTACCTATTTCATTATATACTATAATAGATAGTAATTTATTTTTAAATAATTTTTTTATAATTAATTATTAAACATACTCATCATCAAACAAACTAATAACCAAATAGCTTTTTATTCAATTTATTCTATATTTATTAACTTCATAGACACATTTCATTATTTAACTAAGATCTATTATTCCAGCAAAATAAATTACCTAACTGCCTTTTTTCTTATAAGATTTTGTTTTTATATGATGCAAATCATAATATATTCAATATATAAAATCTGTACATTTGTAGTAATTTTCCAGTTTTAAAATTATTTTAATATTTTTTTATTTGTATTTTATAATCATTCATATTGATTAATTTGTTACCTTGGAGTAAATCAATAATAATTATGATTAATTATCTTTTATAATTAGTAATTAGTTTTCTTTTCTTGAATTGTGAAAATATAATTCAAAATATTTATAATGTCATTAATATTCACTTTTAATAAATGATATTCGTTGTTATATCTTGATATTTGTTTCATTTTCTTCAAAAGGAAATAGTTTCTATTATTATTAATATGAAAATTTAATAATTTTATAATTTTAATTATCCTTTTAAATATTTCTTTGACTTTTATGGAATTATCTATAAAACATATTCTGTCTTGGTTTAATATTAAATCAACATTTAATGTATATGTATTAAAAAATTTTATTTGATTTATATTAATAAATTTATTAATATTAATATTTGCAAATTGTTTAATCTCTTTTACTGAACTTGTATTCAATAGTAAGATGATGTGTTCACTATTATTCCAACTTTTTCTGCTATTTATTGTAACAATGTGATTATTCTGATAATATTGGTTGCTTTCTCTATGTTTTTTCAAAAAATTGTTATATATATTATAAATATTTTCGTTAGTAATATCAATATATTCTATCAAATTTGTCTGCGCCTGAAAATTTATAGTTGATAAAAATAACTATGAATAGTATTTAGTATACAAAACAAATGATATTCAGATATGATACTTATACACACTTATAAAACTTTTTCTTAAATTCCTATTAGTTATATTTAATTTGTATTGTATTAACTCAATTTAAAAACTATTATTAAATAATAATTTATTTAAATTTATCATATTTCAAAATAACTACTGTCATTAAATAGAAATCTTTTATTTTTTTAGATACTTTATCTATGTTTGGTTACATAACCACACCTTAAAAAATAATTCAATATAAACACGTTATCTAGAATCTAGAAACTAATTTAATCAAAATTCATTTAAGGAATATATTAAACGTTTGATTTTATTTTATCTAATTATAATCTATTTGAATGAATTCAAATATATGCAAAACGTTTACCATATTTTTTCGTAATGTATTAATATTAGAAGTTTGCTTATTTATTGTAAAAATAAATGCACATATTTGTATATAAAAATAAATATAATTTAATAGAACTAACATTACTTATAAAGTAAATGCAATAAAATATTTAGAACACTTCAATATTTAAAAATATATATTCAAACCTTTTTAAATAATGTAGTTTCCAAAATTTCTTTATAAGAATTTTTTGCCATTATTAAATTTTGGTTTGTTTTTATACTATATTCTTTTAAATTGATGTATTTAATATCATTATTTATATAATTTTTGTTCGTTATACAATTTTTAAAAAATATATATCTGCTACCCTAAAAAAGATTTATTCATAAATTTTGTTTAAATATTAAACTAAATCTAAACAAAAATGTTAGCTTTTATATTATTGCAATAGAAATACTCTACATAATTAATTCTATTACATTACTTCATATAATATTAAATCTAAACAAAGTTCTTTTTATTCTATAAAGTATATAAATATGTTAATGTATAATTTTAATATGCTTTACTTTTTTATATTTTTCATCAAAGTTTACGAATACATATGATGAATTAAAATTCTTTTTAATCTTTGAAAATGTCCGTCTATTAATTAAAGCTAAAAAGAAAATTGCATAAAAATTAAAAAATTATATCCACAAAAAAATATAATATATTTATATTAAATTTAAAACAGTTTACATATAACACTATCGTTAATTTTTTTTTTATCACATTCAATCCAAAGCCGTCTTTCAACTTGTTCTTCTTGAAGACCACCACGGCTCCTTAAATTTGATAAAAGTGTCAATTTTATGTTACACAAGTGTTTGAATTTATAAACATATAATTTATTACTGTTTTTACCATGCTTCAGCACAAGCTCTATCACACGGAAACACTGGTTTATCATCCAAGTGTTGCAAATATTTGCAATTCAAAATTAAACTTTTTCGATACATTTTTATAAATTTAATTACAGGGTTTCCTTTTAATGTTAGTACTCGAAGAGATTTCATAGCACCTACAACCTAATTAATATTAATCTTATGGTTTCCAAACAATGTTGTACATAATAAGAAATATTAAAATATAGAAAAAAAATAATTTCTTTAACTTACATTTACTACTTCAACTGTATCAATTTTATTATATGATATATCTAAAATAGAAACACTATCCAGATAACGAATATGCTCTATATCTTTTAAAGTTTTTAAATAATTATGAGATAAATTTAAATTAGTTAGATAGTTGAGAGAATCTGTGTAGATATGAAATAGATGCTATATATTATAAATAATAAGACAATTAAATGAATCAAATACTAAAGTATACTAACCAAGATTTTCAATTTTATTGATTAAATTATATGCAAGGTTAAGATTATCAAGTTGTTCTAAATATTCAAGATTTTCAATTTTTTTTATTAAATTGTTATGAAGGAAAAGGCATTTAAGTTTTGTTTGATTATTAAGATTTGCAATTTCTTTAATTCCATTATTTTCTAACCAAAGACATTTTAAACCAGTATAATTATCTAAATTCTCGATAAAGGAAAAACCTATATATTTTATAATTATTAATACTTTAAATTAAAATAGAAATAGTATAAAAAGTACCTTTGTAATGCAAATACAAAACATCATTGAGATAAGGCGTTTCATAAAGTTTGTTATCTCTACAATATTTTTTTATTAAACATTCTGTCATTCTAAAAACAATTAAAGTAAAGTATAATATCTAAATTAAATTTTTATATTTCTGTTATTTTTACAATTATATTTCTATGTAAACATGATTAAATTAGATACCTGATTCCATCTATTTTTTTATTAAAATCGTAAACTTTACTTTGAAATTTTTTTTGTTTATGAGTCTCTTCTAATTTTCTATTATGTTCAAAAGATTTTATGCTTGACTTATCCACTAACTTTTTCAATTTGATATTTTGTTGATTATTAATTAGTTTAATATTTTTTATATTCTTCTCATATTGACCAGTTTCCATTTCTTCTAAAATTTTTTTGTCTTCTGTTCTAGTTGGCATAATCCGATTTTTAAAACATTTTTCTGAAAATCACTCAAATATTTTTGTGGAATATTTATCACAAAAAGATTATTTAAAATTTCTTAAATTCCGTTAATATTTCTTCAATATTCACAAATAACTTTTTTACTGCATATAAAACTGCATTAACTATTTATTATTTTGAATTAGATATAACACTTAAAATACAATTGCATTTAAGAATTTTCTTGTTTAAAAATGATACATTAAGAAAAAAAGTAGCCGATTTCTTTTTCAACTCTTTTTTTATTAATTTAGAAAAGAGTTCTATTTCCATGGTAACAATTATTGTTGTGTTCACGTGCATTTGTGTTATATTATATCATATTAAGTAAATTTTATGATAATTGTTTAACAATTATCCGGAAACACAAATCTTGAAAACTAATTATTACTTTAAATAAATATTTTTAAAAAATTTACATATACATATTTAGGATTGTAAATACGAAAAGTAGTAGTTATCTTAAAATCAGATATTAAACATTATAAAAAACGTGATATGAATGAATTTTATATTATTTTTCATATTTGAAATAGATTACAATATATATTAATATATACAATATACATATAATTATTAAAAAATAATTTAAGTAATTGTTTTAAATTGTGTTAAAAAATATTTATAAAATTCTAGTTACATAAAATGAGTTTCCCAATTGTTATTAAAAATTATTTTTTGGAAGCTTCTTTTCATCATTACTAATAGGTCATTTTTTAATTAAGAGTTATAATTAATTTTTAATATTTGAGAATTAAAAGTGAAAAGCGTTTTCAAGCAATAAACATAAATACACAAAACTATTATATAAAATATTAGAAAATCACCATTATACGGCTGAACCCATTTCAGCATTTTTAAAAACTGTTCATATTTTACAATATAGAATATTCTTCGCAATCTTTGCATTGCATTTAAGACAATCAATTATATAATTTACTGATTACAAGTACACCAACTTGTTTGGAAAATAAAATTCATTCTTCTATATCTACATTGATCCCTTAATTATATATCTTTATCTCACAGATTGCATCACACGTTTTAATCAAAACAAACTTAACTACATGACAGCAACAATTTTAGTAGTTCTTACAGTGGAGTTATTTATTCATTAGAATTTAATCACATTTAATCAGCAGTTTCTTAAATAGACAGCTTATAATCATGATTATATGTAAAAAGTAAAGTAAAATAACAATCTAAATTTATCATTAATTTTCAAAATTATAAATACTGTATGCTTTTGCTATTAAAAATTACAAAGATAAACGAACATTTTGAGATAACTTGATTGAGACACATTAATTAATTTATGTATTGTCCAAAATTAATGTCATTAATTGTCTATACTATTCCTATTCTTGTAATATCAAAAATTTTCTTTTATGCATGTAAAGTAGAAGTGTATACTTCACAAATATTAAATTAAACTGACTATTTCCTTAGTGTAAAGTCGTATCAATGTTTGTTAAATTTCCTTTATTAATTTTGCATATGAAAAAGCATGTGGAATATATTAACGAATAAGTATATTTAAAAATCATTTTTTGATTCTAGAATCTGAAACTATAATTGTTAAGCAAACTTAATTCAATGTACAGATGTTAAAAATTCTATAAAATTTTAATTGAAATATTAATATTTGCTTTCTTTATAACATAATTTACCATTTTTACAAAGTTTATAAATTTAAGAGGCAATTGACATTCATTTTTATGGAATATAATACAACCAAAAATAAAATTTGCATAAAAAGTTCATATATTAAATTTTACAATAAATAAAATTATTTTATTAAAATTGATTGAAAACGACAATATCAATACTTTGAACAAGATCTTTTATTTCTTGACTTTGATCAGTTAACCAATCTACAGAAATTTTTTCATCGTTCATAATTCAAGAAATTTAAAGTTTTTGGATTCCAAATGCTATTGACACAAATTTTCTTAAATAATTTAGATTAATTAAAAATTCATTACAGTGATGTAAAATACTAATTCTTTATTCTATATTAATACTAATTCTATCTATACTAATACTAATTCTTTATATATATATATATATTAAGTTAATCATTAAAATATTTATAATTGAAACATATTTCAATGCAAACAAATTACTGTCAAATCACTATCAAAACATTTTTTATCTCCAACATGTACTAAGATATATTCAGTATTTGATACAATTAAATTATTGATTTAGTGTAAGTAAATACCTGGACCCCATATAAGGCCATCTTTTTTTTATTTCGTACTTGAGCTTCGATTGCTTTTATATCTGTTTGGTCATGCCATAGCTTAACTTCAAGAATTGCATTGGATTTAGTATTGAAAGGTGGTTTTAAATTTAAAATAAACTTAATATTATTTGAAGCAGAAAAATTAGTTGAATTTTAAAAAATGAAATTCGTTTTTAAAGCTTTCAAATTGTAAAAAGAATTTTGTATCCAAGTAAAAAGGTTTTCAAAGGTATAAGAATGAATTTGTGTTTAAAAGTTTCTCTTCAGTCATCATTTTTAAAATTAAATAGATTTATATTTAATTGATCTTGGAAATTTTTGATGAAAATTTTCATTATTTGTAATTTTAAAATATCTATTTTAAATTTTCACTATTCTATATTAATGAAAATTAATTAAACATAATTTTATTATAAAGATTTCATAAGATGTCTGAAATAATTAGCTCAAAAACTAAAAATAATTTCATATCATTACATAATTTAACAAACTTAGAAAGTAATTCTCAAAAAAGTGTGAGAATTATTTATATATTTTATGTAAAACGTTATTAGGCATTTGTTGATGATACTGCAATTTTTTAAATATTTTAAATCTTTTCAATATGCTTAGAGCATCACTTTGTCTTCTCTTTTTAGAATTCTTTTGATAAATAAGAACTCACTTTTTGAGTTTTTGACTTCATATGATGCAAGTTTTTGCATCTTCATTCTAATGTTTAACAATTAATATATAACAAATTAAAAATTAGATAATTTAATACGGAAATACTATGAAATAAAAAACTGTAAAAGTTCTCTTTAACTTAATCTGTTTATTAATCTTGCTATATAATCTAAATACAGAATATGAAATAGAATAATAGCTATTAAATATAGTATAATTAAAATTTTAAAGAGAATTTTAAATAAATTTAGATTAATTTAATTTGATGTTATTTATCAGTAAATATAATTTCAGTTTTTTATTGTATATTAGTTTTGTAAATTATTTATGAATGTATTTCTTCTATTTTTTGTTACTTGCCACATAATTTAATTCGAAAACATCTATAACGTCTTCACCTTTTACATTGCTTATAGCAGGTTTTTTAGAGATAATTTCAATATCAATGGAAGTTTGTGATATATTGAATTCTTTTGTTCGTCCTTTTAAATCCAATTTTTTTAGAATATTTTTAATATTTTGAATACCTAATAAAAATTTTACTTAGTATTACTAAAAAATAAAACATTGCTAATGGTTTCTTTTTTATATTTTAAAATATACAAAAAAATTTAAGTGAAATATATATAAATGTTTTAAATAACACTATGAACAAATTATAATTTTTAATAATTCTTGAAAAAATTCAATAGAGTCTTGGGTTTCCAATCATGTTTTTAGTGACAGCTGATTATTTCGGGAAAGAATAATTTTCTCAAATTGCAGTTTGTCTGTTCTTTTAAAAATAATGATTTTAGTTTGAAAGTTTTATTGTTCTCAAAACAGCCGTTTTATTTCTTTGAGAGAGAAATAGAACTGCAAAAAAAAGATGTAATGATTGTGTATACTGTTCATCAGTTGCACATTTCCATTTACAATTACAATAATTACTTTACAAGTAAAGATATATGGTGAATATTGTGGTGTCCACTATATGTTACCATTACATTACAGTCACTAAATGTCACTAAATAAAATTGAATATGTAGTAAAAGTGACAAGTTGAATTTTTATGACTATTAGTCAATTTTTTCAATAACAACAAATTTTGAAAAGAAAAGTTTGATATATTAATTTAATTTCTATATCAAAATTTAAACATTCAACTCAATAAAATTATATATTTTATTAATTCTATCTTGATACACAAAATATATTATTAAGGAAAATAGTAACACAAATTCTTTTAATAAAGTATAAAGCAATTTGTAACTTAGAAATTAAATGAAAGAAAAACTAAACTTATAGAAAAAACGTTTTATTTCGTTCAAGATAATATTAGTGTTAGTATAATATATTATTAGTAATTTTAATAAATTTGATATAAATATTCAAAGTACAATTGCAAATTTGGATCTGTAATAATATTGTATATCATACCTTTATTAATATAGATTTTAACACATAACTACTGATACTTATCTTATTTTGCTAGTGTTAAAAATTGTTGATCTTTTGTTAAGTAAAAATTATACACTTCAAATATCGATGTAATAAATTTAATTTTCTATGCTTAATTTATATCGGGTGATATATTCAAATTTATTAGAACATTACTTATAACACTAATGTTTAAAGATGGAAATATACAAAAATTTTGCTATTCTACATTTTTAGCTTGCTATTTATCAATATATATGAAAGTTTTTAATTAAAAACGATTTTTTTTAAATTTAAAAGCTAACCATCCATCTTAACTATGAATATTTACTCCACTCTCATTAGATATATAAAAAATCACATTCAATATCCATCTAATACATAAATAACTCTTCTTGAATACACAAAATTCCATCATCATTTATCAATTTATTCTT